TTCGCGTGTGATGCATGAAGATAATGTTGATATAGTAGCCATGCTATCAATTCAGCGGTTTCTAGAACCATTTTCTGGAACCATAAACCTAAAAAGAGGTTGTCCATTCCGATAAATGCAGCTTCAATGATTAAATAACCGATCTATTGTCCGGCGATTATACTAAAAGTAGACAACAGCATGAGATTAGATACCAAATACCCAGTTTTTGCTTTTAAACTCTGGCTCCCTTTTGTCAGATCCATTGGGTTGATTATTCATGTCATTTCAATAGATGCAGGACTCTCATATAATCTTCAGGCATACAAAGATTTTTTTTTCTTACTTTATTTTCGTGCTAAAAAGGTAGACTGCTTGTAAATTGTAAATTGGAAACCTGGGCTGCGAGGTGCAAGAAAAGACCCATGCTAGGCTTAGGGATCCATAGTCAAATGGTAGATTTAATTGATATAACAGAAGCAGCATAGCCTAGCACAAGCTTAAAAAATGAAGCAAAATTTTGTGTTCAGCAATCTGTTATATTCGAAGAGCTGTTCGGGCCCGAGGAAGTAGTCGGGGCCGCCGATGGTGCTGTCACTGACACATGGATGGTTGTGGTAGACGAAGAAGTCAGTTGGGATGCAATACCTTTCGTCGAAGACCTTGCTTTATTGCTGGCGGTGCACAAGCTTCCCTTAACCAGGGCCTCCGCGACCTTGCAACTTGCCGCATCCCCTTCTTCATTATGGAAGTTGATCAAGCCGCTTCGATGCACCTCAACCCATGCGGTATTCTGACCGGAGCCACATAGCATGGCTCTAAACGACGACGAATTGGAGGGTGTGCCTTTGATTTCCGGGTTTAGGTCTCAAAGATCTCAGAAAAAATTCTCCTCGTCAATAGATTGCATTACTTACGGGAACATGATATGCCGTCAAGAGGCGCAAACGGCTCCGAGATCCCGGTGCAGTCGAAGTTCCCCGTGGAATACACAAAACATTGATTAATATAGTCAATGATCTGAAGCGTTCCGCCAAAGACCGTCGAGATGAGTGTAGAATAAATAAACAAACGATGCATGTCTCTTTCACTTCTGGAGATGGGGTGTCTTCAGCAAACCGGGATCTGTCTTGCTCTTTAAACCAGGCATTTTGCGACACGCGCGAAACTACTTATAGTTCCGTTTCGAACAAAGTTACAGGAATTGTTAGACATACTCCATTTCCAATAAGTTTTACATAGTCATCAAAATCTTGACTTGGCCAAAGAACTCATACCAAACGTTTATCTGTAAAGACTTTTTGTGATGAGTTGTCATGGAATTAAATAGGAATCTATTTACTTTCCAATAGATCACAGGCCGCAAGCTTTTATTGTTCCCATAAAATTGATACAATTATTTTCGCTATCTACTTAAACAGACAATCATCGGTAGAAGTTGTATGCGCCCTTTGACTACGGTCGTACCGCTCCCTTCACAATTGTGCGGCCGCTCATGGGGTACCTAAGTTGCCAGAGGGTATCCCAAGAATTTTAAAAAATCTATCAAAGGACCTTTGAAAGAAAAAGGACTCTCAGACCCCAAGATCTGTTCTACCATTTATAACAGCTTTTAATCACCGGTCGTTTGAGGTCACTCAACAGAATCTTCCCACATAACCACAAACGTTTCCCACAATGCCGTACTGTTAAATTCTAGCTTTCTCGTCTATCAAGAGAAGCCTTTAGGATTTTGCCTGGCCCCTCCTTGAAAAACAAGGATTCCACAGTCATAATACAATAGTCCGTCATCCCAGCTTTCGGCAGTATACCAAGCCTCTGATTTGACAGATTGAGTGTCCGAACTTGAAACAGTCATCCTCCGAAGCTTGAGACGGCCAAACTCAGAGTGGATATGTTACTCGCTTACTGCATTTTCTTTTTAGGTGCAGCTACAATAATTCTCGGACAAACAGTCAGCCTCCTATTGCCCGGATTTCAAGGGCGTGAATTGGAAGCGAGCATATTATCTAGCGTACGTGAGGAAATGCCGGACTTCAAGAATCTGAATTAACTTCTTATCTACATTCTAGGATTATGAAGCGATAACGTTCCTTGTGACTTGCCCTCAAACCGTCGCTGCATCTAACTGCGGCGCTTCCGAAGCAGGAATGACGGCTATCCTTAGGAAGGACTCCGTAGAGCTGGTGGATGTCAACAAAAAGAATAGGTTGCTACCCCGTATGCACTCAAAGAACTTTCGATATTAATGAATCATTGCAGTACCGCGTCCCTCTCGTGTCATATTACTGGAACAACGTATGTATCCTGCTATGCTACCAACAAGATTTCAGTTCACGCCACACTAGCCCCCAAAGACCTCAACTGGATGGCAATACCAGTTATGACCACAATACCAAATATCTCAAGCGCAATAAGCTCCTCAATCTCCACCCAGAAAGTTATGGTCACATATCCCGTGAAGCTGCCATCAGGAACAGAAACGGCTGCTACACGGGCGGCTGAGAGCCAAGGAACATTCAGGCTCAAGACCTCGTGGGGTTTATACGCCATAATGGGTTCGATTATGGCTGGAACTCTTGGGTACACCTTGCTTTTTCCATTGATGAGCTGGCAATTCCAACCTTTATAGTGACTAAAGTCTGGTAGTTAATTGCTCAGGCTCGCTTGAAAGAAATGGCACCTGTAGCTCGTTTTCTCTTGTTGGTACCAGTACCCTTTCATATCAATCATCTTGTATAAATTATGATCAGTCTATCTTATACAGAAGGAATTGTGTCCCATATGGATACTCAGATGATCAGGAAGACACGATACGCTACTGTGTCTAGTGAGGCCCATTTCCTGTCCAACAGAATCCACTTTTTTCTGCGTAAGGGTGCCGAAAGATAAGATTTTAGAAAACTTTCGATGCAGACGCCCTTGATTTAAAATTTTTTTAGTTGTGTGACAGAGCCAGACAGGCGGATTTCCAATTTCATAATCATGAACCGCACGTAAAGAGTTCTCCCTAGAATGGCTTTTCCGGGACTCACAACACTCGTGCACGTATGGATTCCGTATACGCAATATTTCCAAGGTATTCGATGGGTTTTAAAGCCCCTGGACAGAACTGCTGCGTTATTCTCGGTTTTATTGCGGCGCTAAGATGATAGATTTTAGAAGAAAAGAATTTGAGCCCCGAAGCAAATACAGCTGATCTTTGAATTCTTCAGGAGGGACTTTATCCATCGGCATTCTACTCCGAAGAAAACCCGAGACTGACCGACTTGCCATCCACTGAGATGAAGCTGACTTCAATTTGAGTGTTCAGCTCGATATTGCATAGAGGTTTGGTGATGACCATTTGATATTGAAAAATGAGAAAGCATCCAAAACTTTCTCGTACTAGATACATGACCTTGGCGAAGAAAACAGATCCTCGCTAACATCATACTCATGCGGCATCTCGCGCTCCCACGATTGCCACAAGACCAAATACTGTATCACTGAAATTCCATCTTCGGAGATCAAGCGAGAGGCAATGGCGCTAATCGGTATCTTTTTGCCGTTGCCGACCTGGTTGCTCTAGTTAGCTCGACAGCCCAAAGAAATCCCATGGACACACTTACGGTGCTCGATGTCTCGTGACCATCCATGGTATGGTGTATGCAGGAAAGACTGGATCCTAGCGACTCTTCTTCTGAATACGTGGCATCATCGCTCCCTGATACCACAAACCTGCGATCTTCACTTGTTTCCGAAAGGTCTTCCTCTGTAGTGGAATCGTCGACCGTTTCTTCAATATTGAGGTCTTCGTAACTTGATAGAACCTCGAAGAGCTCGTTGTCACTTTCCTCTGTTTTCTCTGGCATTTTAAAATGATGTGCCACAATTGACTTGGATATGTCGAGCAGGGCAGAGATCATCTCAATTTATAGAATCATGGGCGTGCGGCAGTACTCGGTAGCTTGGGGTTGAACTATGTGATGACGGGTGAGGCACATATTGCAGAGATCTAAGAATTAGCAAAATTCATTCGCATTAGCCTACTTCGTGCAAGCGTAAAGTTGGAACTTCTGCGATGTGTTGGCAGGGACCATCACTGGGCATTCAGATCATTGACCCACGGGGAGCGCTGACCCCACCAGGAGCTCCTGATTGGCCCAGATGAAGCGTGACAAATCCTTTGTCTCGTCAACGCTGGCGACGCAGGTGAAACGAGTGCCACCGCGGTCAGTCTGCAGAGTGGGCGAGAAATAGCGTGTCGTGGACTCAGCTCCACAAGGTGATTTGAACTTACTTGATGTACGCCCCAATTCTGGAACGAAGTTGATTCTTGTTGACGACTTGGGTGTAACTGTTGGGTAATGTTGAGCACCGATTGTCGACGATGCAGAATCGTCGCAAGGCCATGACTGAAGACATCCATATATGTAGGGCTCCGAAAGGAATAAAGGAATGCGAATATACGACATATTCATATTCGCACTCCGTGAATATGAATATATGAATTTTTTTGTTGAGATAGGTATGTTAAATTGGTTAAGTTGACTATCTTGTTGGAGGTGGGGCTCTCATCTATTTATCTGTCTCTTGATGATCCCCACTACATGCTTTGACCACCGTGATACTCAACAATTCAATTCATATTATTCATATTCGCAAATATTCATATTCGCAAATATTCATGAATATTCACAAATAATGATATTCCTTTTCGGAGCCCTACATATATGATCAAAAGCCTCGTACCATCCTTGAAGCCAGGCGGCGATGGAAATATCTGTGACAAGGCGCAGAATGTTACATATATCTAGGTAGAAGGGATAACGCAATCGGCCGCACGATTAGTAGTAGTTGATCATCGTTCTCCCATCAAGATCCTTTACTTGGCTCTATCTTGATATCATGACGTTGCTTACCGTTTTCCAGCTGGCCATGGAAAATCGTACCAGAGCTATGCGCTAGAGTTACAGACGGACGGGGTATAAATAGTCGACAAAGAGCCTAGATTCTCAAGGACACCTCCCTGCAAAAGGATGGCCGACCGCATGGAAATTGACTCCAGTGACGATAGCTGCGAGATGACTGACGCGAATCAGCAACTTGAACGCGAACTCCTTCAGTGCCAGCAAGGATCATCTCCAGCTGCTGTGCATTCGCGTCGAATTGTCTCGCTCGGGGTTTCTCCTCATTACGTGAGTCACTGGACCTCTGCCGATGCCTTTCGGGAACTATATCAGAATTGGTATGTGTCTGTCGTCTTGTCGGATCATGAGGCTAAATCATAAAATAGGAAGGACGCCATATTGGAACGGTTCCAGATCGATCAAATCGCCTTCCGGCCATACTTCGTCGACGCCTGCGATCATTATGCCGTCATGGTACCAGACCCCGCAGACCCCGAGGGCCGCCGATCCCTGGGATTCATCAAGTATGATAAAAAGTCCAGTCGGGTCACTTTGGCGAATGCCTGTATGCAATTGTCCGTCGAGGCTCTCGAGTTAGGCTTCACTACCAAGGGCAGCCAGGACCAATTGGCGGGTTCCCACGGCGACGGTCTCAAGCTGGCAGCCGTGGCCCTGTCCCGGGATGTGTATAGGCTGCAGCTGGCGGCAAGTCGGTGTTCCTGGAATTTTCATTTGCAGGAGCCATGCGAGTCTCGTCTCCATTGTACCATCACCCCATCGCGCCAATCTGGGCCCACCCGGACGGACTGGGCCGAAGATATTGCGGGACTGCGCTTCCACCCCGAGCGAGATGTTGCCGTGCTCATCGGCCCTGGACGCACCACCCAGGGTCGGCCGGTGGCACCTGAAGGATTTTTCGAGTGGCTGCAAATATCGTTGGATATTCGTGGCCTCGCCTACCCGTCCTCGGTTGTCGAGACAAGCCACGGGGACCTGCTTTTTGACCAAAATCTCCTTGGTAGGATTTATGCCCACGGTGTGCTAATCTCTGGAACAAACTCGATTTACCCGTTCAAACTTGGTTATCACTTTACAGAGGGGAAATTCAATCGCGATCGGCGATGGCTCATGGACCGGCATGGACTGGCAGAGCGAGTGTGCCGGATCTGGGAGTCCGCCCTTCAAACGCACGAGGACGTCCTTCTTCCGATATACGTGAGCCTCCTCCGAAAGACACCAGCGCTGATGGACGTTAGTCTGGCTGCTGATTTGCTCTTACCCTCGACGATATCCCGCATCTGGACGTATTTGCTACACGAGTCCAAGGGCAAGGACTTTTTCTATTGCGAAACATCCGGAGCCCAGGTTTGTCGGAAGTCAAATATTCGTATCCCTTGTCACAGGCTAACGCAAATCTAGGATGTCAAGATGATACGAGAGACCATTGGAAAAAGGCCTATGAGGCTGTCGCGAGAATTATGGCGCCTACTGCGGTCGACTACACCTATCCGCAGTGCTGCGGAAGAACTTTCAATGCTTTTCCAAAATGCCGAGGTCTGTAGCCCCCCGAGTACCACCTTCTCGAGAACCGTGCGGAAGGCACTGAGAGCATGTTTTGCCTTACTGCATTCGATGCAGGAGATTCAAGTGGTTTACGTCAAGGGGTTCGATAGTAGGGCGGATGTTGTGTATAATCCTCAACAAAAGACACTGAAGGTCCACCGCCGATGGCTGGACTTTGACGGTACACATCAGCGAACGTCGTGTCGGAACTGGACTCTTCGTAGTGCGAATAAGGAAAGCGGAAAGCGCGAACCCTTCGTTTGCGGCCACATCATTGAGGAGCTTTTATCTCTTTCCATCTCGTCGGTGTTTGGAGGCTCTCAGACCCCTCGGACCACTGAGATGAGATATATGCGCCATATCCGACGTCTACTCCGGTACATGCCACACCAGATCACTTTGACGCCCTCGGAGGGTGGCTTGACGGTTGCTTGGGAGGATAATGAGACAGAGCTGTTTCGGAAGCATGGTCTCGATGGGGCGGCGTATCATGTGATACTACACGAGGAAAGCTGTATCAGCATGAAGCAGGAGCTCCTGCATCCGAACCCAGGTAAGCCTCGATCGATCGTCGCTTAGGGCTGACAGTTAATTGTGATACTTGCCCTATAGTCCTGGACTCGTCGGACCTTGCAGTTTGCGGGTGCCGTCAGCAGTTCGTTCCGCAGCGGACCAAACAATGCCTGTTCGCAGACTTGGATGAATTCAAAAGTTACTACGCGATGGTTTCACTCAACGAAAGGTCTGCATTGTACGGTCTAATATCGGAGCCTATGTATCCCCTAGCGGTGGCGGAGACCGGGCATTCCGTCGTCGTTGGCGATCAGCTTCTCGTTGATATCCAACACAAGCACGGGCCAATCGATCATTCGGGTCCGCCGCGAATCGAGAGAAAACAGCTTCATCTGCCCAAGAGCCGAGAAGCAAAAGACGAAATTATATGGACTGAGCGTGTCTCAAATCACCCTCACATTGCTATCGCGTTTCGCTGTCCTCATAACAACACGACGATTAATGAGAGGTGTAGCTCACTTTGACACAGAGTGGATGGTCCATGACAGGCTACATATTATTCATTTAGCTCTGTGCCCTGGTCAATATTCTCTCTCGGTAGGAGAGCATGATGAGAGTCACCGACGTAAGTTTCCGGCATCTCCTGGCGCTCGAGAAGACATTAGCGAAGTCACAGGAATCGGTCATTCAGACGAGTCAAAATGACTGATTGACTGAATTTCGCCCACCTAACAGAAATCACACATGCAAGGATTTTTGGCCTTAGAGAAGTATAGAAAAGTCAAACGAAACAAAATGCTGTTAGATAAAATGATAGGGCCCATATGGGTGAGGGTGTTTCGTATAGCGGACGAACGGGACGTATAGTCGGCTTGTCTATTTGGACAGAACCTCGACTAGTTCCTTTCGGAACGGCGTAATGATGAATCCTCACGGCTACTCAAATAAAATTTCGGGTAGAAATCAGGGCCAAGATTCACATTGAACGCTCCACTGTAGCGTCATTGCATCCAGAGTGCATTGCTTCAAGTACCAGCCCCATTGTGGCTTGAAGGCAGTGCCTGGAAATACGTGGGGGGCTCCCGGAACCTGGCTCTCCTAGGAACTATGAATGCAATCCTGGGGGCATGATCAGTGCTGCTATTACAACCCGCTTCAAGAAAATTACAATCTTCGCGACGCATTCTTGTAGTAGGAGCTGCCTTGATAGATTCAATACGATGATTGTGTTAGCGGCACGATGAACGATATAAACTCGTCTGTCCGCTCTTTTCACAAGACCATTATAACTCAACGCGCGATTTTATTGTCCTATCCTTGCTCGCCATCCCAATATTCATTATGGTTCGTAACGGATGTACTTTACGTTGGCAACTACATACTAAACTAGAAGCAGCCCCATTTGCGAGGTCTACCGAATCCAATCTTATACAGAGTTGCAGTATATCTCGAGAGCAGCGAAATATTTGCTCTTGCGAGATCTTGTCGAAATCTCCAAACTAGGCTACAGCCAGTCATACTTGCAATCAACGTTGAATGGCAAAACAGCAATTTACTCGGCCTCGCTGCCATGAGCAACGATATTGACCTCGCCGAAAGACTCCTATGTCGCAGGGCAGACGTCAACGCGTTCTTTCGAGGGAAGACCCCACTGATGAGAGCTCTCAAGTACTCATCCCATGACGTATTGCAGCTCCTGCTGGAAAGCCCCACGCTGGATATCAACCTCCAAAACCAGGCGCAAGAAAGCGCGCTATGGTATGCTGTCACATACGGAACTTCTTCTGTGGTACAGAGCTTGCTGTAGGTCCCAAAGTTACAAGTTGACCTCCCGCACAGGCGAGGACGAACGGCACTTCATCTCGCGGTCTGGTGGGGCAAAACGGGCCTGGCGCGTCTGCTCCTCTCCAGCGGCAGCGATCCTCTCACTACAGATGACTTTGGCAAGTCACCCCGCGCATGGGCATGGCGCATCGGCCGGCCGTCCATGAAGTGGATCTTTGTAGGCCCACAGGAAGCTAGACACTCGCTCTCTTTCCACAGGCCATCCGCCGGTGATCAGACCACTGATAACAGCGAGCTGCCGCTCCACCAAGCAGTAGCCCATGGATCCGCAGACGCTGTCAAGCTACTTCTGAGGCAGAAGGAGCTGGCCCTGGATGCTCAGGATCACAACGGAGATTCTCCACTCCACCTCGCTATTCGATGCCGGCGTCTGGCAGTGGTGGAATTGCTGTTGAGCCACCCGTGCGCCGACGTAAATTGTCGAGACAAAGACGGCAACACTCCGCTTTGGTTGTCGACGTTCTTATCGCGCGATGACATAACTGAGAGGCTGTTAAAGGCGAGTGGCATTGATATCAACTTTGTGGGTGGTCGTGGTCAGACCCAATCGCCTTCCACTTCGCTGCACCACGCGGTCGCAAGGAGTGACACAGTCGTTCTGCGGTGGCTTCTCAAAACCCCTGGCATCGACCCTAATCTCTGCGTGGCAGGCGTCTCTCCTTTTTCCGAAGCGGCCGCGAAAGGCAACACCCATGCGATGGCGATGCTCTTGAACAAGGGAGGCGTAGAGATCAATGCGACCGAGTTGGCAGATCCCCCCCTCTGTCGAGCGGTGGAAAACGGCCGCTTGGAAGCGGTAAAGCTCTTGGTCCGGCAAGGCGAGGCTCTGGCAATTAACCAGAGCACTGTTACCGTCCAAGACACCGCCCTGTGTCTCGCCGCCCGGGCGGGCGACTCGGAGATGGTGCGAGTTTTACTGCGCCATCCCAAAGTTGATCCCAACCACCAGAATCGTTGGTTCGAGGATCCTTTATTGCTTACAGTAAAAGGCGGATATTTGGTGGTTGTTGACATGCTGCTGCAGGACCGGAGAATGGATCGTAACAGTTTGGGGGCATCGCTTCATTTTGCCGAGGAGGGTCCAATTCGGCAGGCAATCCAGAAGCGGGTCAATGATCTCCGCAGCCGTCGCGGTGCAAGTACAGCCTCATCATTTAAATGGAGAATCGGGAGAATCGGTGAATTTCTCAAAAATCAGCAAAAGACTTGTACAGCAGGGCGATACAAACTGCATTGAAAGGCCGGTAGAGGTGTAGATCAATGATGACCTGTGGAATGGGATGGTGGAAGGCCAGGATCTTGATGGATTGAGAATAATGCCAACCGTCATAGAGCGCGGCGTTGATAGCTCGTCAGTAATCGGGGAGAAATGCTGTCACGGAACTTTTTCTCCGCATCAATTCATGAGCGACGCTGTCGTTGATCCTCATTTATGCGTATAGCAAACGGGCTTAGATTGAAACATGCGTCGTTATAGAGCTCCATTACGGGTAAGAAGCTGATAATTGCGGGCGTGGAGAACATGTTGGGCTTCGCGTGTCTCCTTCTATGATAGCATATAAGAAACCTCTGAAGATTCTCTTCACTCAGCCCATGCAGCTCACTTCGTACATGAAGAAATGGACGCACCAGATCGCTCTTCATCGACCGAGCGACCAACTAAAAGACAGCGGCAGCTCTCCAAACACTGTGTGGATGACACTACCGCCGACCTGCATAGCCTATTCCGAGAATCTTCGGGGCATGAAAGTATCGAGTTCAAGGTCAGGATCTTCCCAGTAGCAAAATGGGAGCCTAGTTGACATGTACTAGAACACCACTGGCGCTGCCAGCCTTTTGCCAACTGAGGCCAAGCAGATTCTCCGGATGGGGTCTTCCATCTCGAGGCCAGCTCTCGACCTACTCGACCTATTCCTATGTCTCTGGCAATGTTATGTTGTCAAATCTGCTGAGAAAATCCGACTCGAGAGCGAACGACGCCAATTTTCGCTGTTCAATGACGAACTAAAAGCCGAAAATGGTCTTCTACAGCAGCGTTGTAATGAGCAGGCCCTGGTACTCTGGGACCGCGGGCGCGCAGCCCACGCTGTTCAGAATGGAATCGTGTCGATATTACGGACGTGTGACCGGAATCTTGACTAGAAAAATTATCTCTGAGTGATCAACAAACATTGGTGAATATGTATGAAAGCGAGGACGCTAGATGATCTTTTCTTACGATGAACGGGGATGACCGTTGAGACGTCGATACAGCCGAGAGTTAATTCCCGTTGAGCTTGTGACTATCCATACCTTGCTCAAATAGAAGTATCAATGGACCTTTGATTAATACGATATCTGGCTCTGATAAGAAGGTTAAATTGGCCTGTTGCTCGCACCATTTCAGCCCATAAGATCGTCAATCTAACATCAATGGTCCGGTTCTGTTCTCTCCAGCTCTTAGACCTATCGACTTCCGAGGAAATGAACCATCTGGCTCAAATGGGTCGGTAAAATCCATTTCACATCTCCCAAAACGTATACTTACCATCAAGCAGACTTTGTTTCCGATGATGACATCCACGCAGCCTGGCAGGAGTCCTCTAACGTACCCGCTGTACCCCCCTGCCTTGCTACCGACCGCCGCGGATTGAAGCAAAATCCTTTTGACCTATCAGGGGTCTCCAGCTCTGAGGTTTACGGGCTATCTTTGGTCGACTATGTTTTTTATCCGAATCATAAAACCCAACAAAGCTTTCTGTGGACAGGTCCGGATCCTCTGTCTCCGTCTACCAAGGCGGAGGATATTTTTGTATACTTTTCTGCTTTCTTGCTCTCAGAGGAAGTCTACTGGGTGGAATTTCGTCTTTCAAGATTTGACTCTCTCAGTGAGGAGTTGATGGGTGAGCACCTTTTTTTCCTGCCACGATTCGAGACCGCGAAGGGGAATCTTTCTCGGGTGCGCAGGCAGATTCTCGACATCATCTCCCAAGTATGCTCTGCGGCGCAGACAGCCCGCTTCCGACTGTCGATGTGGCCCCGCTTGGAACCCCTTCCTTTTACCCAGCACTTCATGATGTCGCCGTACTCCACCCTGCCTACGTTGCCATGCCTTGATCCGGGGTTTTTCGTCCATAACCTCTGCGGAAATTTCAGATAGAAATGGCAGTTGAACTGACGATACATACATAATCAGAAATACAACGAGTGTACACGAGCACAGATGGTAATCTGGGCTCAGAAAATGCCGCTACGGGCAGTTAATCCATGCTTTCTTTGCTCTATTCTTCAGGAAAATTGTCTCGAGAGATCCGCATTTGGGGTTTGAATGAAATAAAGCAGAGTTATTCTTTTCTCTTATAAACTGATTTCGCCTTTTTGTTTATCGAAAGCTCCTTGATTTCTCTGTCCATGGGTGGATTGCAGGAACGTCTGGGGTATCGCAGGGCTGCATCCTCGCAGAATCGTGGTTTGCAACCGGAACTACGCATGATGGTTCAAACATTACAAGAACAATTGGCTGAACAGAAGGACCGAGAGGAGAAACGAGAAGCGGCGCAGAAAGCACGGGAAGAGAAACTTCTCGCTCAACTAGAACAGCAAAAGCTCCGAGAAGAGAAGCGAGAAGCAGAACAGAAGGCACGGGAAGAGAAGCGTGAAGCAGAACAGAAGGAACTGCAAATGAAACTTCTTGCCCTTTTAGAACAGAAGGATAATTCGAAATGAGCATAAGAATAATATCTATGGATATTCATGTAAAGACTTTCAACTATGCCTGCGTTAGAGGGCCCTCCCTCTTTTGGTATTAGCGCCCCCGAAGGGGTAGAAAGGCCAATGGGAACGTAGTGTGCTTCGACACGTTCACACCGCGACGGTCTCTCCACTGGGGACGCGTGCTGCCCCACCTTGTAAGCCCTCAAACGACGTGGCATGAATGGTCTTTGATGTGAAGGACGTGACAGTATAAAAGTTAGCGTTGTGGGACCTAGTCAGACGTGTGAAGCCCAAGGTGCAAGGGTTTCGGCCCCTAAAGCGATGAAAGTGAATGTTTCTACTTTTACCGTGAGATCGGGATCGAGAGAAAAGCGGAGGTCATCAAACGGCAATCTTTTGGAGTAAATTTAGACCTTGGAAAGACCGCAGTCAGGAAGGCTGCACGTAGAATGAGCAGTCATTTCGAGGGGAATCCTGTCCTCGCCGAGCTATGCGTGTACTAGCCCATCAAAAAGTCAGCAATTTTTGGCAGATGGTGTCCCCGAATTCATAGGCATCATATAAAAAGAGCAATTCAAGGCTCAAAAACCTGCATTTCGTGTGCTGGGTTTGAGGGCCTTGAAACAACCAGACTACTAAAAAGAAGACGAAGGGAAAAAAGGTGCTTGGGGTGTCACTATCCTGTGGAAGGACAATAGTTCTGGGGTTAACGATAGGACGGGCCTGGAATTTTCAGCAGATGAGTATAACAGCACATCAGGCATAAGACAAACTTTCACAAGAAAACACACTCGGAATTTGAATGGCAAATTCCAAATGGCAACAAAACATATCTGTACTCTAGCCGGTAGATAGAAGCTCATCCACCTTGGTCGTAAAAGGAAGGAGAGAAGGGAGTATTTTCTGTGGTGGTCGCTCGGTATGCAATCGTGGAGGGGCTTTCACTCAGGTATGCCCTCTCTGGGAAGCCCTCTATGCCATCCGGATACCCAGGGGTGGCTGTGAGAATTTCTGGTGTGGGGGCTAGTTAAATGAAAAGATAATCAAAGTTAGCTATTGTGAGCCTGGAACAATGGGTCTTATGTGCAGTACATACCTTCTGGGGCAAAACTCCGATAATCCCGAAGTTGTCCATCCCCGAGTTGTGGCGCTGGATGCATGAAGTTATCGACTGCGACAAAGTCGCCTGGTTGATCAATATCTCGAACAAAATGTGGCATCCTGTTCGCGTGGTTTGTCTCGTGGTACATCCTCATTTGTCGTTTGAAAGCAATATGAATTGCTCCAAAGCTCCTCTCATGTTGAAATTCTGCCAGAAACTCAGCTTGGATCTCTTCCTTATTCAAATGTCTTCTTTGCATAAACCAGAATGGTAAGCGCTCCAGGTCCTGGGTTGCCCATCGACGATTGCGGGATCTGGCTTTTTCTCTATCAGCTCTAGCCCCTGGTATGGTATTGATTGCGTCACTTACTTAGTTGAGGTTTATTTATAATTTGAACCTCTATATGTGATTTGTGGGTTGACACGCCTTTTCTTTTGCTATGCGTAGAAGTGGTCGAAGTATCCAATTGATGTGTCGCAGAAGATGGGATTCCACCCGGCAGATTGGACCCGCCTAGCCCTTGGCAAACGGCTGCTTCGCTATGTTTCGCTGTCTCTGTGGGGTAAGGGCTTGAGAACGTCTTTGGAGAATCTCGAGATACGGTTTGTGGTTGACAATTTTCGGTCACATTGTTACCATGAAAGGTGAAACCTGTGTTGTTGACTGGGTCTGTCGGCACTGACACGCGTTCATCATTTCCGTCCCGTAGATCGGTACTTCCTCTTGTACCGTAGCGTCCTATGCCAGTATTGCTCTGGCCTTCCATGGCTTCAGCCCCCGGATTCAGAGGTGTAGGCCTCATGGCCATTGACTCATGCCTGGTCATTGGCTCATGTTCAGCCAGCTTCTCCCTGTCGTTGGATGGGCTCACGATATTCGGCCGTAGTTCTGGGAGGCTATTTTGCCGATCAAAACAGGTCTTGTCACATTCATTGCTCGCCTCCTCAAGGGATTCTCTGCGGTTTCCGCTCTCCTCGCTAGGATTATCATGCAGACAGGTATGGTTGAAATACTCTGTGTGTGGATACGGATGCTCCATCAGGGGCCCCGGTTGGCAGCTAAGACTCTGTCGTTTTTCAGAACCTTTCACGGGCATCGACGATGCATCTGGAAGGGTGACTCGCCGACCATTTCGGCTATGTAGCCTTTTCCTCTGGCCCATTCTCATGGGGGCTCTTCCGAGCAGTTTATTCGCCATTATCCTGGAAGCTGGCATTGTTTTCCTACCGTGGATACTCCGTCTAGTAAGCTTGCCGGGAAGGCTACTTCGGAATTTCCTCCTGCGCCACATGCAATGCGCTCTTTTGAGCCGCTTCAGAGATGACCATGCTTTCCCCACGAGAGTCTCTTTATTGGGAACTGCCGCGTACCCTAAACCTTGATCATGCTGGGCCTGCTCCAAAACTAGGCTTGATGGATATATATTCAAATCCGTTGATTCTTTCCATTTGTTCAAAGTATCTTGAAGCGCTCGAGTTCTCCGGTTAGCTTTTCCGATGATCTTATTGTTGACTTCAATCACTGTGGCTCAGGAATTTGCCGGTCAGTTAAGGCACAATCATTTTTATACAGGATAAGGCGTAACATAACTCACCTTTTGATGCAAGTTGGTTCGAAATTGCAACCATCTCGGCAGTGAACGACAGTGTATATAACTCGGTTTGGACATCTCTCTTGTAGTACCAAGGTTGAATCAATTTCTGTGGTAGGCCGGAAATCATCATATTATGCTGGAAATCTGACAACTCCGCAGTTGCGTTGAAGTCATGCAGATAATAATGATAGACTTCGGTTTCCTTGAATTCGATCTTGGATCTGTCTGCATTCAGAACATCCAGCCAAGTGATGGTCCTCTGCATCGTGCCATTTTCGAACTGGATGATTTTCGGGCTTGGAGAACCAAAGATGGCGTCTATCCCTTTCATAAGATTGACACTGATCATCGGGGCATTGTAAACGACCGCGAGGCTCGCATTTTTTTCAAATTGATCCAATATGTCCTGGGATTCTTCTAGGGTGAGGCAAAGTCTTTCTTGCAGCGGTTGGAACTGCTCCAGGAGACTTTCTCTTAGCTCCAGGAAATTGCCTCCTGGGCGGTGAATTAGGCTTTGATTTTCTTCGGAGAACATAGATTCAGTCTTGCGACTGGTGGAGTATTAATCGTGGCGGTTGGCTGTAGGCTCGTGAGGATCGTGGTATTCTTCTAGAAAGTCATTGAGATCAGCAGGTGTTGGTGCCTTACATCGAGATTCGTTGCCTACCTGGTGGGACCAGAGAAGATGTGGTGGGTATGAGGCGGAGAAAAAAAAGTTATTTTCTCAGACGTCGATGATGAGTAGGAAATTTATAGCTTTATAGCCCATGAATCTCTGGTCACGAAAGATAACCGGCTCTGAAAAGCATAGAAAATCACAGGCCAGTCTATTTGACATGGCTATGCCGAAGCCATAATCCCAACGTTGGCAGCCCGATTAGATCGGTTTGCTGATGATGAAGCACTGAAATCAACGTTGAAACATCAATGGCACTGTTGAATGATCCTATACACACCACGCTCCAGAGATTAAAACTGCCGATATGCTGTTCTGGGAGTATCTGCTGCTCTGATCTCGCGACATCAATGGGGCTTTATTGTGAAGATAGATCGCACTTCCTCGGGGCTGCTTATAGTATGCAGTCGCTCAGCCGCTGCTGGTACCTCCTGCCCCACTTTCAAAGCATTGTCTTTGCATTATATAGCATCGAGTAATGTGACGTAGATCTGATCTTTTGTTCAAGCGTACGTCCAAATGCGGGTTAAATTCCTGAAATGCTGAGTTCAGACGGAGTAACCCACTTTTCGACGCACATTTCGACACACATTTCAGAGAGTACAGGTAACGAGGTCAATAAAGTAAAATTGAATGGGAAGTGTTAAATTTTCAGAGTGCATAGAGGTTTCTTTTGCTTCGGCTGACCATGTTAAGGTACATACCACAATTCACTAAGGTCCCCTAAGGTCCCAAACATAAATCGGACCGGCCCACCACCACGCCTCACGGAAACTCAATCCGCAAGAAATGCATCACCTCTGAGATCAAGTCCTCCTCGATACATCCAATGAGTCGCTTGATCACGTCAGTGGGTATCATCGATCGTTCTTGTAGTTGTGTGCGAAGAGAGAGCTTAGGTAAACGAGGATGAGAGGGAACAGCCCGCTGTGGCTGCACTTGCATCCTGGTTGACTTCGGGAGGGTTTTCTGTAGGAATTCAAAGAGACGACAGAGACTCTCTGCGCTATGGCTGTCGCCGATGCAAAGGCAGAATTCGATGGCAGCACAATTCTTCTCAAGCAGACTATCTCTGTCTTGAGCCAAGCGATGAACAGCGGCGTGGCGAATGCCGGCGATCAAATGGCGCAAGTTCTGAACAGTGGTGATATTTTCACCATGTTGCTCAGACGAGATCTTCGATCGGTTTCTAGCTAAGAATTTGAAGAACTTGTGCAGCTCCAGTGCCTCGGGGCATGTCCATCCAACAGCCAAAGACTGTGGTTGAAGCCATTTTTGAACAAATTGGAAAGCGGAATGCTCGAAGTGGCATTGCAGGGTTTGGAGGATCATATGTTGTGCTCGAAAAGGAATAGGCGTCATATGAAGTCCTAGGATGGGAAACAAAATCTCTATAAACTCTATCGATCGTGATCAGCGAAGGCACTCTAGTCTCTTGTTTCAGCTTACCCTTAGCATTCAGTCCCCGACTCTGTTTCAAAAAGGATCTCAAGGACGTTCGACAGTCAATTGAAATTGTTCAGTTTCGAGAGAATCGAGAGGTGATTTACCGGTACTATAGCTAATTGGCTGTGGAGACCAATGTTGGACAGCGGCGGAGTCTCTATTGGCGCCCGACGAAATCATGTTCCGACGACGGACTCGGCGTCGACATCTCTTCATCGATGGTACCTCGGCCGGCTTGTGGGCGTGGGTACACGAAGTACCCTGGTCATCCTGTACAGGCAAGTGAAATAAAGATTTGGACGGCATGACGCGTTGCAGTGATTGCGAATCGGGGCGGAAAATGTGTCGGCTAGGCTGAGGGAAATCATTTTTCTCTCACGGGGCGAGAACAAAAATTTTGCAGGCGAAAAATTCTGCGGATGGGCAAGCGAGTTGCCAAGGCGAGTCTTCCATGGAATGGCTCTACATATTAGCTGCGTGAAACCGTTTCACATCGTTGAGCAATGTTGAGACCAATGATTCGTAAATCGATTGGCCACGGTGCGAGCGAATATTGGCAGACTTCTGGAGCCACAAGAAATTAAGCTGCCACGGCGAGTAGCCCATAGCATGCCACTTCGGTCTACACCTCATACAAAACTGCGCTAAAGGCCGTTTCATCTTTGTCACCAACGTTGATGAGGCAAATGATTTGTCACGCATCGTATCATGCCGACCACGGCTCCAGGTGGATCCAGCCACTCCACCCGCTCTCCACTCTAAACTCTTGAAATTTCTTATTTCAACGTTGATCAACCGCCTCAACACCCAGCGAAATTAGGGTCGCCCGGTGCAAATTTGAAGTGAAAATTTTTGGGTCCGGCAAAATGTACGCAAGTGGTCGTTGCCGAAAACCCTACTCAGAATAGCATAAAAGACGCTCTTTTCCCGTCGAAAAGAAAAGCAGGACTTTCCTCCTCAGACTCCCGAACACTCGGGTGTTCTTCGCAGGATGAGATCTGCATTGCCAAAAAGTCTTCGCGGAAAAGGCCCCGCGTTACCAAGTCTGCCTCGCAGGACGGGCTCTGCGTCAACAAGTGTGCCTCGCAGGACGGGCGCTGCGTTACCAACAGAACTCCGCAGGAGGGTGCTGCGACACCAAGTTCTCCCTCACAGCCAATGAGCCCTGTCGTTGTAAACCTGTGCTCCCTCACAGCCAATGAGCCCTGTGTTGTATAAGTGCGCTCCCTCACAGCCAATGAGCCCTGTGTTGTATAAATGTGCTCCCTCACAGCCAATGAGCCCTGTGTTGTATAAATGCGCTCCCTCACAGCCAATGAGCCCTGTGTTGTATAAGTGCGCTCCCTCACAGCCAATGAGCCCTGTGTTGTATAAATGTGCTCCCTCACAGCCAATGAGCCCTGTGTTGTATAAATGTGCTCCCTCGCAGCCAATGAGCCCTGTCGTTGTAAACCTGTGCTCCGCAGGGACGCCTGCGTTACCAAGAACCTCCGCAGGAGACCGCTGCGACACCAAGTTCTCCCTCACAGCCCTGAGCTCTGTGATTGTATAATTTTGAGCTTCCATGCAGCCCTGAGCCCTGCGTTATCAAGTTTGTGCTCATTAGGCGACCCGTGGCGCCGCGGTCCTCGTCCTGATCCTCTGGCCATTGCAGGCACCTCTTCGTGGTGTCAGAGACTAGTATTTGGGGGAGTCCTCGAAGAAGCCAAGACCTGCTCCAAAGAATCAATAGAATCAAGAATCATCCAGTATACCTTGTGTCATGCCCTTCAGCCCGTTTGTAGAGCTCAATAGACGTGTTCCTGGTTCGCCTAAAGTTGTTATGGAGCATTGAATCACGCCCTGTCTTTCGACAATTTGCATTTCTTCAACGTAGTGCGAAGTAGGGCACTGAGTCATCGGGCCACTGGGAATCTCAGTGTATGATAGCTTAGTGGCCGATCTGGGCGACGCGTGCAATCCAAAGTAGCCTCCATTTGTGTGAATGCTTGTCTTTGCTGGCTACCAAGGGGGCAGAATTTGTCTCGACGTGGTGAGATGCGGGCTTTCGACAGTGAGTAGGTAGTGTTGGCGTGCTGATGAAGGCGTGTTGATGGTGAGGACACGTTGATGGTGACGGCCGGCGATGAGTGACGGTTGAGGGTTGGTGATGATCAGGATCGATGGGAACCTGCGAGTCAACATATTGATTTGCGGCGCGGCGTAACTGCCGAGCGGTGAAGTGGCTGCCAACGGTGACTACCCATCGCCATTACGGTGGGATCTTCGTTGGCTCACCAATGATGTAAAAGATGATAGACGGTTAAACATGATGCAGTTCATTAACTGGAATCTGTCATTACACCAGATCACAATGTAGTTATCTGCGGATAGTCTTTTTAGAAAAACTCGACTATGGGCTTGGAGTTGCGTGATGGTGCATCCAACTTTGGTTCCCAATTCAAAAATATGTTACAGTAGAGGGTACTGTACACTATGTACATCTATGATCTATTGACGATAGACTGTATCGTTATTTTCGCTCGGGTCGCTCTTCTACGCGGCTCGAGCTTTGTCGCATGTTCTTTGGCGATACACAGCTCTTAGGTAATGTCGACAAATGATCATCATGTGCGTAATATATATCCTAGATGCGCACGTTCATGGTAGCAGTAGAATTAGAAACAAACCATCAGAATGTCAACGATTCAAGCCCTGTATTCTGGCCCTCTTTTCGAATATCATATTCCATTGGCATGGCCAAATGAGAGACTCTTGTGGAGCTCAAAGGGGTACAGTAATGTAGCTGAGTACTGGTCGAGACTAACGGTGGCTATGATATTCTAAGAAGTTGCTGGATATAGTGAGGCAGATTTCGTGCGGCCAGCGCATCTGCTAACGTGGTCTAGTCGAATATGCCACGTTGGCTTCCTTAACGAACCGGGTTCGATTCCCGCAGGCGCATCTGGATGACCATTCATCAGAAAGACGGTTTTCGCTCATACATCGTGTTCACAACCGGCTTGTCTCCGGTTTGTCTCGCGTACATTTTTATCTCTTGGGCCTCTTGTTTTCTGTCGTCCCTTGACACCGACCTAGGGCAGCACCCGGCGGTATACTACAGGCGACAAGGCCGTGCACTGACGCGTCGCAGCGTCTCGCGTCGGGCACAAGTGACAGGCCCACAATGGTAGAACATCACAGCTACGTCCGAGGTCAATAAGTACGACTTTTCTACCAGTTATCACAAACGCACCTGGCATCCTTCGAGTAATAATTGAGCAGTTGCAACCGCTGCGGCAATTGAACAGCCGTAAATTCACGACGCTCGTCCGCTGGTGAATTCGTGCCGTTCGGGGATGACATCACGGGGAGAGCATTCGACTGGCTTTGGCCACGCTTGAGAGGGAAAAGTCATCTTCATGTCAATGATT